AGTACATTTCATTTCAATATCATTTTGCTGTTTTTCTGGGACTGGGGTAGAACCAAAACTTTGATTCTTTCTGAACATACTGTCTAAAACAAGTCAGCTGTGTAAATTTTAGATGCCAGTCAGATACAATGATTTCTTCTCCAATTTACTACCACAAGACTAGAAGATAAAACTGGACATAGTTCCTTTTCCCATGCTTCCACCAGAACATCCGCACAAAGGTCAAGTGAACGCAATGCTTTGGGAGTTATACAACACAAAGGACTGGAGTTTTGTTTTGTTTTTTTATATATATATATATATATGTACAGGAAATAAAAAAATACCAGACAAATAAATATCTTCTAAATACTACTAATGGGTATTAGCAGATAAAACATAATTAGATCACCATGTTACCTTTTATTGTTTTAAAATAATGTATTAGGGTTCGATCAAGTGGTAACGGAGGGAAACAGGGCAGATTTTGTACATTCAAATGTCTCTTATTCAGAAACTAGAGGGACTATTGAAATAAGTAAAGTATCAGAATGCAGGAAAGAGTTCACTCCAACAGGGTAAAGTTAAACCTGTGATATTCTTTCAAATTGTTGAGAAAAAATTTAAAAACTCATGTTGGTAATGGAGGGAATGAAATATGCAGCACTTTTTGGGCAATAAATCCAAACAGTGATAACTCTTGGTTCTCACTTACATATCCTTAACAAACTGGTTTGAATATTTGCTTCATATAGTTTTCTACCATATGGTACAAGATTAGGTTGAAAAACCTCTTACTTTTTGAGTGATGAGATTTTTTTATTAAGAAAGGTCATGGTAACGGAGGGAAAAGTAACGGAGGGAAAACTGTGCAAGCAAGTAGAAGGTGCAGGATTTTGCATAATTTGTCAGCTTTTTCCTTCCAAATACTTTAATATTACTTCAAAATGAAAGGAAACTATTTCTATAAAATATGTCAGTCCTTCCAAGCAAATTTTTTATAATTTTAAATACATTTTTTTGGAAAAATCATGTACCTTCATCAACAGTTCAAAGACGGAATAACACAAGATATGATGAAATACATCCATTTATTTACATGATTTTCAGGTCTTTGAAATTTGGGAAATCATTTTTGTTCCATGTTTCATACATGGTCTGTTTAAAACGTATGTAACTTCAGAACCAAAAATGGTACAGAAAAAAGGTAAACAGTTTCATAAACTAGAGTACATATTCTATCTGTTCAATACATTTTTATATCAGATGCATTAACTTGAATTTTTGGCCTTGCTGTTTACTTCTGCTTGACCGGGCCCATTAACTTATTTAAAAGCTTCACTAGTTTCCCCTCCTTTTGCTCTATAGACTAAGTCACTCCCCCCTCAGAGAGTTATCACACCATATTCACATTGCTTCAGGTTTATCACGTTGTGTACAGTTTTGTATGTTTTTATATATGGAGAACTCTCATTTGGGACCATGGAGGACGTAAGCTTGTGGGCTCAACATTGCAGAGAATCTTAAAGCTGACCGTACCAAGGGAACAGAGACATCTACCAACTTGGAACTGTAAGTGGTGGCGAGGTTAAAAAAGAGAAGTCCGAGGCACCACGCGTACAAACATTTTAAATGTGTGTAAAAGTCCCTCAGTCGTCCAGGTAAAATCCGTGGCAAAGAAGAAATCCAATTTGTCAACTGGACAAAAGTTTATTTTGGTCGAATACGTTTCACGGCTCATCCAAGCTGCTTCTTCAGTTCTGGTCAGACACTGGTGGATATTTCCTTGTATATATGTCTGCAGGGAGGAGCTAACTACACTGAAACTACTCTGAAACTAACACACTACTTGTTTACAGTTTGTTTCTTAGTTTGGTCTATTGAACTGAAGTGTGGGGTCATATACAGGGTATCCCCAGGTTTGACTACCCCAAATTAAAGACTTTTTCAAGACCTTTTTAAGACCCCTTAAATGAAAATTAAGACCAACAGTGCAACCATTATGTGGGCAAAAAACACCGGATTCAATTCTAATAATGACCAACCAACTACTGTACTACAATCAAAGAGCCACTGTGGATTAAAGCTACACTTCCCCATGAATCATCCAACGTCTTCCTCCACTCTACTGATTGTTTACTCACTGCCGCCAGAAACCAAAGTACTGTTTGTGCATACTCCAAATTAGACGTTCATTCACGTTGCTTGATTTCACGTTGTTGTTTTTTCCTCCCTCCATTTACTATTTCACTGCAGCCAGGTTGAGTATACAAAAATAGAATAAAATTTAAGACCTTTGTGAAAAAAATAAGACTTGGACAACATAATTAATTTTGGAACATGAAATTTAAGACCTTTTTAAGACTTTTAAGACCCTTTGGCTACCCTGTATTAGCAGAATCATTCAGGAGCTTTCATACCTCTGGCCCTGACCTGGATCTTCCTATTGTTTTCTTTGTTTAGTTTTAGGTCTGAGGATCGAGTTGTAAATGGGAGACAGATGATGTCTGGGGGCCTCCATTTCTGTTCAAGGAGGGATTGTCTTTCCTTACAAAAATAGCCTCTTTAACTCCCCTCTCAAATCAGTTATTTTATCTGGCTAAATTAAACCAAAGAACCCCACACTCAGTGCAGTTCAACAGACCAAGCTAATAAACAGAAACTGTAAACAAGTAGGTCTTTTAATTTCACAGTACTGTAAATTCTGAACTATAAGCTGCTACTTCTCACACTTTGAACCCTGTGGCTAAAAAAAGATGCAGCCAATATATGGACGGTTTCTTTGTTTGGCACATTGTTCATTCATATATACGGTCTATGGTTTGGTAACACAGAGGATACACACAGCCTGAGTGCAGAAAACACCACTGTGCAGTTACACATGGATCTAGAGTTAACATGATGTTGCTACAGTAGCTCGCGATATTGTCAGTGCACTCAAATAGTTTATCGCCGTGTGATAAAATAAGTTATGATACTAAATGAACATTAGTGAGGGGGATACGTCTTGCCCGTGTGTGTAAAGGATGAGAAGAAATGTCTCAAACTTCAGTAGCCGGACATCCACTCATACCTGATACGACTACCCCCGCCCCCAAGAGAGTCTGAAATCTGCTGAAATCCTCTAAGACACTGACATGATCCAGACCGGACAGAGGCTATTTCTGCAGGAGACATGCGCAGTAGAGTGCGGGGAGAGACGGGGTGATGCGCCAACGAAGATTCTATTTTGATTGTGTTTTGAACAGTTATTTAGCACTTCATCCACCCACTAGGGGTGGGCGATATATCGATATTTTAAATATATCGAGATAGTTTTTAAACTCGATATGAATTCTGACATATCGTATATATCGATATAATGCTTATATTAAATTTAGAATTCGCCGCTTCGCTTGTTTACCTTCTCTCTCGTCGCCCGCGCGCCCCCGCCTCCCTGATTTTGTTCGCTCATGTCTCCTTCACTCGTCACTACCGCCTTGAACGCCGAAAGTTGGTGCCAGTGAAAAGCTTCAAGCACCACGAACCTTTTCAACCATTTACAGACAAAACCATCAGCAGCACATCCTCATATTCCACCGAGTCGCGTCCTTTAGTCCAAAAGAAGCTAAATGAGCTGAGCTGCATGAGAAGTGCGCTGTTTATGCAAATGAGCCATGCGCTTAAGTTTCGTTTCTGTAAAACGTAAACACACGTGCGCAAAACTGCATTAAACACATTATAATGTCAAAATGGCTGATGTGGCTCTAGAGTCGTTGTGCTTTATATATTGTAAAGTTTAGTAATGTAAAGTTTATTTGTGGAGAAGATTTTAATGAATAATCTGCTGCAGTGTCACTTGAAACGTTGGGTTTGATCTGCAGTGGATTGTGGGAAACCTCAGAACTCCTTACTGCTGGAACATGGATCTAATAAAATAAGGAACATCCTGAGTTTCTTCTGCTGAAGGAGCTCATGGTTCTGGTTCTGGTCTGGATAACAGAGTTAATGCAAAGATGAGCTTGAGTTGAGTTGTTTTATCTATGAATGAAAAGAAGGAAATATGTATTATTTATTTTATTTACAGTTAAATTATTATTTATGTAATTAGGTTTTTTGTAATCTTAAATGTTCCTATATGAATTGCTGACCTCTTACACTTCAATAAAAAAAAAGGACCTTGTGGAATTTGGCAGATTTGTTTTTGCAGTTTTCAGTTTTAGGGGATTATTTTTTCTTGAACATATATCGAGATATATATCGTATATCGAGATATAGCAAAATATATCGAGATATATTTTTTGATCCATATCGCCCAGCCCTACCACCCACCCTCCTCATGGAAAACACAAGAAGAAATGCAGATGTTGCAGCTTTTAAGTTAACCGCAATTGATGTGGCTGTGGAAGAAGGAAACAGAGCTGCTGCACATCATTGAGTCGATGGTGAGATTTTGGCGACGGCAGCGTGACGAACTGACTCAATCCAAAAAGACGACAAAAGCTTTCAGAGGTGATAAAAGCAGACGGCTCGAACATGAAAACGTGGACACCTGCAGCTTATATTCAGGTGCAGCCTATACATGTACAATTTTAAAATTTAGTTAAAATTTAGTTGATGTGGCTTATATTCAGGTGTGCTCAATGAGGAGACAGACTTTACTCCGGTCTCATAAATTGACCTTCCACATTTAGTTCCTCGTGATGATGCCTTCACTCAGCACCACTTACAGCTCCACGTTGGGAGCTGTCTAATCTCTGTTCTCATCCTCGAAGATCATCTGTGTATCCCTCCACAAAGCCCCACCTGTTTTCGTTGTCCAACTGTAAGAAGGGTTTGAATAGTGCATGGGAGAGATCACTAAATTACTGAAACATGTATGGTTGTAGAAAGCTTTAAAAAAAATCTGCATCCACTTTAAAGAGATATAACTTTAGACAGTTGCTTTTGGACGGTAACCATTTTCCATGATTTTTAACTGAGCCAAGCTGAAGCATAATTCTCTAAATACTAAGAGAGGATGTGAGTGGGGGTGTCCTGACCTGGTCCTTTGGCTCCGCCCCTCAGGATGCGTCCCAGGCGAAAGATGATGGCTCTCTCGTACTCCTTGACGATCTGCACACACACAACAGGAGGACAGTGAAAACAGCGTGTGTCTCCATTGTCTGACATGATTATATTAGACCAGCAGCTCTTGGGTAAATACAGGAGCAGCTGCTGTACAAGCCCAGGGTTACGGGGATATTTCAAATGACTGACAAAAACACTAAGGCAATAAGAGCAAAGCACATACTAGAAAGTAAACATTATTCATTTGTTAAGCATTAGAACATGAATACATTTATTTTTAGGAAGGTAATTTTGTGTAGCCACTTCATTGTTATTCTTAGGGCTGGGAAATTATTGGATTTTTTTTCTAGATCAAGATTCAGTCATGTCAGTGGTCAATGATCAGGGTCTTTTTTAATGAATGAATGAGTTCTACAGCCTTTCACATGCTTTTACTGAGAGAGTTCAGACTTTCTGTTTTAGATGAAGGTTTGTGTTGTTTCTGTTCATGAAATGAACACTGAAAGGTACTTTCATATTGTTGTAATAAATACATGAATGGAATGATTTGATTCTTTTCTTTTTTCTTTTGCCAAATGGCCGTAACCTGGCTCACACGAGATTGATGTGTCACTCTGAATAAAGTTCTACACATTATCATTCTGCAACAGGTCTCACTGAAAGTGATCAGGAAACACAGAACGTCATCATGATGATTTGACTCTGATTGGTTGAAGTGTCACAACAGCAGAACAAGCTGAGGACTTAAACTTTAGTTCCATCCAGCTGAGAGAAAAGCACAGACATCGTCTCTGTCCACAAATGCACAAAGCTCTTACCTTCTGTACATTTTTTCACAAACTAAAAAGTCTGTATTGAATAGGCTGAAGTTTGTCTGTCTGTGTGGTTTGTTTTGGTTTGTTTGGGCGCTTCACATTTGGCTTCCACTCAAACTTCAATGGTGCGACGTGATTGGTCACCCACCACCTTTTGGGCCCTATCGCACAGGCGGGGGCCAATATACTTCATGAAAATCCACCTTGCTGTGAGAGGTTAACATGGCCCTGGCCAAGCTGCTGGTATTCTTTTTGTGGTAATGTTGAAAACTGTGGAACATTGGACTTATTTGTTGGATTATGTCATTTTAGTAAGGCTGTAACTTCAGTCTACATTCTATACCAAAAATGACTTATTATTACTATTATTAATTAATATCAAAACTCAAAAACTTTCCATAAGTAGTATTTTTGACATTCTATTGTCAAAAAAAATACTATTTTCTATTTTCATAGCATAAGGTGCAATACATTTTGTGAATATATTAAATCAATATCACAACAACTACTAAAAATACTATTTTATTTATTTTAAGACATCAGAAGATAATTAGGGGACCAGTGTTAGTCAGCCCTGAATTACACAGAGGCTGTCGAAGGGTTCTGTTTTTACTCTTCATCTTGTCCTGTGAGAGCAGTCTGACAGGCGCCATGGTAACCAGATTATCAGGGGTGCACACTGTGGAGGAGGGGAGAAGGAAAAGGAAAGGAGAGGGGGAGAAAAGGAGGAGGTGTCAGGAGAGGAAGAGGAAGAGAGGAGGAGGTGACAGGAAAAGAGGAGAAGAGGTGACAGGAGTGGAGGAGATGGGGAGGAGGGGAGGAGAAGGGGAGAGGAGGCTAACCTTGATGCACATCCAGATGGAGATGGGCAGAGTGACCAGTGTGAGCAGCATGGAGAACAGCACCAAAATCCAGCCGCACAGCCCGATGTCCGAGTCCGGGTGCTCCAGGGCTGAAAGGAGAACGGGCAACATTAGCCTCATGACAGAGACAGTACATGGACATATCACACGTAAATGTTCACAATCTTTCTCTTGTTTTTGATTATTAATTATCTGAAATTGTTGCCATGGTAATCCACTTATTATAATCAATGAACACATTTGAATAATTTTTTTCTGCTTCTAATTCCCCTTTTTGGTTGGTTGATGTTTTTAAGAAATAATATGAAAGTGGTGTCATTATTTTCTGTCGTTTAAGTGAAGTGACTGTACTTTGAGGTGAATTAAACACATGGAAATTGAAATATACTTGTATAAAAGTGTCTTGCCTGAGAGCGGAAGAAATAGAACTTGCATTTATAATTACCTGGCTGTTTTGTAGACGTGTGTTTGAACAGGTTGCATAGTAAATATTAATATTGTCTTTTGAACTTCATTTGTCCTGCTAATTTATTCTTTCTTGTACGTGTAATTTGAGAACCAGTGTGGAGCAGCTGTTTAAATTTCACTGTGCAGTTAGTTGTGCAATGACAATAAATCAGTGCTACTCACTATTTTTTTCACAAGAGCCACAATGGAAAAGCAAAATCAAGAGGAGAGCCACTTATACCCAACATACGCCAACATACCAAGTCACCTTTGCAAATGTGCATTTCTACAGATAACATCCCACAAAAAAGAAACACAGCCAATACATTTTCAATTCAAACCATATTCACCTTAATACTGGGAATTGAATGGAAGCTGCATAGATAGTAGATTTATATATTACATTTTCTTAATTGATTGTCAAGAGAATTAATAATCTTAATAATACTTAAGTAATAAGTACTTAAGTGAATATTAAAATTATCATCATTATTATTACTGTGACTAATCTGCATAAATAAACTCAACTTTGCAACATATAAACCGTGACCACTCTAGAGTCACATCAGCCCGTTTGACATTATAATGTGTTTAATGCAGCTTTGTGCACATTTGTTTACATTTTACTGAAACTAAACTTCAAACCACATGACTCATTTGCATAAACTATAAGCGCTGATAAAAACAGCTTTTTCCTTGAGCGCTGGTGTGGTTCAGCTTCTGTCAGACTAAAGGACACGACTCAGTGGAATATGAGTGTTCTCTCTGTGACAGAGGGACGGTGATGATGATGGTGAGTGTGTTGTGTGTGTGTGTCGCGTTGGAGATGGTTCATATTTTCAGAGATCAGACGTGTGCAGGTTTCGCACAGCTCTTTATTTAACATCATTTCCCTCACTTTATTTATTTTGCTCACTTTATTTAGATGATGTTAATCAAGAGCATGGACTACGTGCGGGTCAGGCAGTGGGTCGGGTACAATATTTTCAAATAATTTTTACGGTCAGAGTTGCGGGTTGGTTAGTTGAAAGTGTCGGTCGAGTCCGGGTCATTTATACGTGGACCTGCGCATCACTGGCTGCTGGTGTCACAGTGCCCCCTTTAGGAAACACCATTAATTAAGCCTTGGTTTATACTTAGAGTAATGCAGATGTTTGTGTTGTAATGTTCACTATATGTTTATAGCATATTTGAAAAACTATATTGGCTGTGTTACTATTGTGAGCCACCAATTAAAGCTTGGTGAGCCGCATGTGCCTGCAAGCTGTGCCATGAGTATTCCTGTAATAAAGGCATTCTCATTCTGATGTAAGTATTTGTTGCACCAATATCATGTAATCAAGTTGTTCTCTATCATGGGTCAACACCTGTGCCAACACTTCAAACTGAGTCATGTTCCTCTGTACTGAAAACATGGCAAACTAGGCTAGGTTCCTCGACCAGGGTTGAATTGTCAGTCTGTGCCGACGCTTTCAACTCAACCACGACAGAGGAACTTGGCTCAGCACAGATGTTGAAACTTGATAGAGGAACTTCTCATTCTGAAAAGTTAAGGCCGCCGCACACTACAGGATTTTCTGGTTTTAAGCGATTTTTAAACATGCGACCAAAAGCGCACACCACAGACACAAGGAGAATCTGATGAGACTTAAAATCTCTGATCGTAAAGACTGCAGCGGGATATGACTGCGGACCACAGGAAACAAAGTGAGTGCGATCACGTCAGCTGTTTCCTGTCTACAGTAAAATTCAACTTATTCCACTCTGCCTTTCGTTTAGATTGTGACAGCGTTTTTAAGCCCCAAAAATGCTGTCACCATCTAAACGAAAGGCACCTGCAATAAAATATTTTGTCCTTTTTACGCGCAAGCGTTCTTGTGTAAACAGGCCCTGAGACTCTTAAGTGTTCAAAAGATCAAAGCTCTGCACTTCGAGTTTAGATACAAGTCAAAACTCTGTAATTATTTGTGAAATGTGGTGCAAAACTTCAAATACAGGATTTTTAAAGCAAAAAAGATTGGCGATAAAGTATACAGGAGGTAGAGTCACTATTGCTAATCTGCAGCTTCACCTCGATCCGTGCGCTGTGTGGATGTAAACAGACACATGTGAGGAACTACTCTCACCTTTTTACTTTTAAAGAATGCCTCAAACTGGATTAACAATGCTGTTTTGAGGACTGGATGTCATTATTTGCATACAAATTCTATGGATAATGTGGATGTGATGCACTTTAAATTTACCACATTACGAGAGGTGAGGAATAAAGTCTTCTCATTATTTTCGCTATATCCTGAGTTTGTATTTTGCGTCTCTGTGTCCGTCACTCCTTTGCCCCTGACGCTCTGTTTTATTGGTTGTTACTGTGGTTTGGTTGTTACGATACGACAGAGCAGCTCAGAGTCACACTGACACCACACACGAGGAGTGCAGCAACATCAACATCGCACATGACCGGGCACATTCTCCTGTAGTGTGTGGTGGCCTTAAGTCTAGATGTTGAACCATGATAGAAGAACACGGGTCCGTTTGACGTATTAGCTCAGATTTTGTCCCATGACTGAGAAACGTGGCTCCACTATGATTATTAACATATTTGTTGAACCACGTCAGAGGAACATTTCTCAATCATGGGTCAAAATCTGAGCTAACTCTTCAAACTGAGCCATTTTCCACTGTTGTTCTAACACTTGTAACCGAGTCAATAATAACAAAGGCATATTTCTCAATCATGGGTCAAAATCTGAGCTAACACTTGAAACTGAGCCACGTTCCTCTATTATTGTTCAACATCTGTACTGACATGTCAAGAGATCGACTGATCCTGACACTCCGGGTTTGTGATGGGTGGTAATAATGAAATTGTGAAAGGAGTGTGTAATTAAGGAAAATTGTTATGCACTAGACCCATTCATGTCTAACATGCAAGTCAATATAGTCACATTTTCTTTGTGTTTTGGACATTTTTAAGCAGCTTTTCTGTATTTAACCTAAATAAATGACAGTTTATGTCTTGCTTTACTGTTAGTAGGGATCAGATTTGTCAAAAATAGAGACACCTGGGACATTTCTTGTATAAAACTGGGACAAATCACTAGTTTTGTATTAATCTGCTGGGACAGGGGACATTTGGCTCAAAACTGGGACTGTCCTGAGTAAATAGGGACGTCTGGTCACACTAGGCACTGTGTAGTAAGAAAAAGTCCTTTATTACTGCATGGACAGTGGATTGTATGGATGGGCATTCGATTACATTTTCTTAATCGATCATTGGGAGAATTAACGTAAGATTTTCAATTAATCATTAATGTTTTTATATTAAAATGATCATCATTATTCATCATTATCACTATTACTAATCTGCATAAATAAACTCAACTTTGCTATTAGCGCTGCTCTTTATTTAACAGTCATTTCACTCACTTTATTTATTTTGGCTACTGCTGTGTTGACAAGACTGAAAAGTATCTTTTGGACACATGCATTTTATGTTGCAGTAACCGGGATACTGCGTTTACATGCACCATGACGGGACACAGATGTGCATGTAAACTAGGGATGGGCATTCAATGAAATTTTCTTAATCGATCGTCGGAAGAATTAACGATCGATTATCGATTAATCATTAACTTGTTTATATTAAAATGATCATCATTATTATTACTATCTGCACTACTAATCTGCATAAATAAATTCAACTTTACGACATATAAACCGTAACGACTCTAGAGCCACATCAATCCGTTTGACATTATAATGTGTTTAACGCAGTTTTGCGCAACTCTCACAGAAACGAAACTTAAAACCGCATCGCTAATTTACATAAACTCAGCCAAGATAAAACTACAGCTCTTGTGTCGCTGATGCGGTCAACTTCTGTTGGATTAAAAGACATGACTCAGTGAATACAGGTTAGTGTGACCATATTTGCGTTTGTCAAAACCAGGACAGCGTACGGGGGGAGGGAGGTGGGGACTCGTCATCGACATTGCACGACTCTCACCTGGTAAAACTTTTTCCCTCTGGACACCGAAACATATGTGCTGCTTTATACACTGTGCACATGGACTCACACTTGTCCCGAATGCAACGGAAAGCGTGGAATTTCTTGTACAACTCATCGTTAAATACACATTTGCGTTGCAGACTGACCAACTGTTTGTGTTTGCTCGCTCCTTCTGAGTGCAGAGAGACACATGTACGGACCCCTGTTTGGTCACGCTACGCACAGCAACCTACATTCGGTTTGTCGATTAAAATGAACGTAATCGATGAAATTCTTAATGATCAATTATCGATTAATCGATTAATCGATTAATCATGCCCATCCCTAATGTAAACACACTCATTGAGTGGTACAGAGTCTCCAAGGAGGTGCCAGATCCCAAACGTGGCACTGTGAGGCCACAGTTCCAGTGTTTGTGTCAGACGCAGCCACGTCTCCTCACGCTACTCTGCTCACAGCAACATGCATTCAGTTTGTCGATTAAAATGAACGCTATCGATGAAATTCTTAACGATTAATCGACAAATCACGCCCATCCCTAGTGGATAGTGTCGCGTTGGCTGTCCATGTCCATGCCCTGGATCTCTACTTGACTGCTGTGCACATCTTTTTGGAAAAAGTGATGTACAAAATATAAAAGTATGATAAACTGCTCCACTGCGTTCTCTTGAAAATTTTTAAGGCGACATCTAAGATTTGTCACAGAAAAGCATGGGTTTTTCTTAACTAGGATGAAAAAAATTATTTTGCCATAGACCACTGAAATTTGGTACACATATTCTCCACTCAAGTCAATCATATTCTGTCATTCACAAGCCTGTTTTATTACAAACTGGATAAATAAGCTGTGCAGTCCCATTTTCTGCAGTGTCTTCTTTGTCGTAAAGTGTTCAAATAAACCTTCATGCATATTCTAGGAAGTAGGAAGCTGGCTGCATACCAAATACCCCAAAATATCGGCATCTGCTAAAGATTTAAGGCAAATAAAATGTGCAAATATCTGTCTGCGTTAATCTAACTGGGCCATGTTCCTCTGTGAGCTCCACGGTTCAAAACCAGGTACACCCACTTAAAACCACACACTGGAAACTAGAGCACGAACTTTCCCCTGTAGCATTGTTTGTGTTTAGACCTAACCTCAAATCTTTTGTTTTCTGTCAAAAAAAAAAAAAGAACTTTACCTCCCACGGGGCTGTCCCAAATGCATACGAAGTTGTGTAAAAGTAGCATGACTGGGAATTAAGTAAGCTTCTGATTTACACAACTTTTACTATAAAACAAACCGCCACATTATCCTCTTTTTAATGTGTAGCAGTCAGAGGAGCTAAAAGAATGTTAGTTAATATAAAACAGCCAATAAGTTTAAGATTAAGGTCCCCGTGCTACCTTAGGGTCTCTGTGCCATACAAACCAAGAGCTAAAATGTGCGAGGAGGTTAAGTTAAAGACATCAAGAGTTGAGAGCAGATTTGATGTCTTGTCTATGAAGCATCACATGAAATCCCAAAGCAGCCTCCACCACCTCTGATGCTTCAGACCTTTTCACATGCAATCATTTCACTTTATTACACCAGGAAAGTCATAAAGGGCTAGACAATTTCCTTTCCTTCTCCCGCGTCTTTAGAAAACTTTTACTTTTAGAGCTTCGATGGCTGAACAGCACCATCTCACCAGCGTCTTAACTTCTCTGTCGACTAAGATAAATACTATGTAGACTTATCTTCAATATTACACGGAATAGTCATTTTTAGAGGGTCAATATTTATCGTGAGGAGGTTTTCTTTGCACTAGTGGGGAACTTTTGGTTATTTTTCTGTACTACAAAAAGAGCTGAGATGTAGCATGTCGAATTTATAACGTCTAGAACTCATTACACAGACTAAGTACTTATTTCTCTATTAAAGTCTGCCATTTATTTATTGCAGTTTGTATTTTTTAAACAATATTACAATTTGAATTTGTTTTTGTGGATAATTCATCATGAGTCTTATCAAGTCAGTGCCATAAATGAGTTTCAAAGTTACTGTTTATCGTCTATATTTTCTTCAGCCATATATTGTACTTCAAAATGTGTGATTGTGATAGGCCTATTGTCAGCCTACTGCTATTCTGGCCTCTTCATTTGAATGTCTCCCTTTAGCCAAGAGCTAACCTGACCAAGTATGTCATCAACTCGGAAACTAACCATTAACGTCACTTCAATACTCATTCACGACTCAAAACCAGGACAACTTTGGAAAAAGAACAATTAGGTACGGCTGCTGTAATTTGTGGGGAATACTGATTTCCTGAAAAATCTCCATCCAAACTTGAGATGATCCAACTACAGCCTCTGTGGCTCTGGCTGGCCAGATAAGTATAACATGACATCACAAGGTGAAACAGAGAGAACACAACCTAAATATGCAGAGTTTGTGTGTTTAAAGAGCCATTAAACACTAGGGCTGGGTATCATTAAGAAGTTGCCGATATGATACATACCTCGATACACAGGCCATGATACGATACATATCTCGATACAGTGAGCTTTTTATTCAATATGATATATGTCGATTCGATACGGTTCAATAAAAAATAAAGACTAAATCATGGCTGTGATACTAAAAGTCTTTATTAAACCACTTCTTGTGCAAAGTTCATATGAAACATAAACATTTTAATCATCAAAACAGTAAAAATGTCAAATGTGTCACATTTTTCTATAGCGCTTTTCCACCTTCAAGGCACTCAAAGCAACTCACTCAACAAGGAACCATTCACCCATTCACACACCAGCGTACGCAGACACTGTGGGCAAAGTGGGTTAAGTGTCTTGCCCAAGGACACAATGACAGCATTCATCTGTGGGAGCTGGAATCACACCAGCCAACCTGTGGGTTAGTGGATCTGACCACTCAACCTGTGATGTTTATGTTGAGAGCTGGATTCGAACCGCCAACCTTTAGATCAGTGGGCAAATGCTCTACCAACTGAGCTACTGCCGCCCGACACATAAATGAGTTTCCTTTCACTCCACAAGCAACAAAACTGTAGCTCTGTATCAAAATAATTTAGTAAAACACACCTAAAAATACTCTTGGTGATATATCGATACAGCAGCCCATGATATTGATACTGTATCATCATATTAAACGATACGATATATCGATATTCCGATATTTTTGCACACCCCTATTAAACACCCTCCCGGGCTTTACTCCAACCCTAAGGAAAATCTGAAAAATGCTTCAGAGTAGGTGGGGCCTGGCAGGTTGCGGGGGAGCAGGTGTGGACGGGCAGGGCTCAGGAGCAGTGATTGACAGCCGACCGACAGCCACAACAATCCAACACGGCACAGACCGGTGCGCTCCTGACTTTGAAACAGAGCGGACATTCGTGCTCGGATCTCGCCATTTCCCTTTTGTCCAGAAACAGCGGGACATCGCAGTGACCAACGGTGCCAGGTCGGGGCGGGGCTGAGAGGGGCTCCTCACATACCACCTGTAGACCCCAGTGGCTGTGCTCATCAAGTAATAACCTGCATCTGACTCACTGGTGGTTGTTAGTCCAACCCGGAAATTCAAATGTTCTGGCCATAGTTGATCCTAAAGAGGCCGATACAGACACGACTTTGAATCAAAAGTTAGATTTTTAACATATATGCACTAAAATGCCAAAATAAGTAAAGGGATGGGTACACATTTCTATTTTAGACCCATTTACACAGATAATCAGTAGAAAAAAGTGATTTTGGTGTTTAGAGGTCCTTTAACCTTAATATTTAACATTATATCAATTTATATGTCCACTGAGGATATCGTCTGAACCGATATTTGGAAGACGATATCTAATCCAGTGAATTATTCAGTATCGACGTCGATATAATAGAAGTATCAGAATTGGTGCATCCCTATTGTATTCCCATAAAATCAACATGTGGGATAATATGTTCAGGAAATATTTGCATATTTAGGTTGTTTTACTCACATGACTAGTATTCAATCATGTTTTTACAAGTCCTCTCCAACCACCTTGGACTTAAAGCCATTTCCCAAACACAAGTTAAAGACATACTGTAGAAAATATCAAAGCTAGTTAAAGGGCTTATATTATGTTATTTTTTTTATCTATGTTCCAAATCTGAAATCATCCAAATGATTCTAGTTACAGTATATGGAGTATAAAATCTAATCTTTTTTATCTACACATTATAATGTTGTTTCCTTATCAAAAACATAATATATGACCTTTAAACTACGATGTACAAAGCCTTGAAAGACATAATATATGGATCGATATTTCAGCTCTGTACTGTAGGCCTTTAGTCGATTAACTCGGTCGATGAAAGTGTTGTCAATCAAAATAGAATAAGTTAGTATGTAGTATTAACTTTATGGTTTAGGCGATTGATTGATTGATTGATGTAGAATCATTTTATTTAGATTATGAGGATTTATATGAGACAACAGCAGAAAGGAGAAGTTAGTGAGTAAGTTGAAGATTTGGTATTTTTTTTGGTATTTATATGTAAAACAATAGAGTAAGCAGAAATACACTGATTCTTAGTACTTCTTCTGCATAAATGCATGAACTCCCCCTGCAGGTGTAGTCTTGTGAGTTCAGTTTGGGTCAAATACACAGAGTTTTGTAAAGCTTTTTCCCACCCCCCCTTTTTAGTCAACCAGTCAAAAAGCAGGATATGTCTTTAATTCACCAAGAATTTCGTTAACCAAATACAGGCCAAGTATAACCCACTGAACATAACAAAGACAACACTCAGGCAGCTCATAGCCACTTTTACATAATATTTCTTCATGACCACCAATCACAATAAGCAAATTAGGAGAAATGAAATTGACAACTAATTAATGATTTCATAAGTTTGTTTTTCCACTTTTCATAACTGCAAAATTGAGATCAAGTAACTGGGAACATTATACAGTACAGGAAATAAATCACGTGACTGCAGTCTATTCTAAAAGCTCTCCGATAAACCCACTAATGCACAGTTTGTACGTCTTTGTGCCTGCAAATGACATCCAGCTTGAGCCCATTAGACGACCAGAGAAAGATTTCACCCACAGTGCATTTGAAAGCAGAAGAAGACGGATAAGTCAACACAATAGGGGATCAAGTTAGGTTCAAAATGCAAATGAAAACCATATGAAGCCAGTCACAACTCGTTTCCATGCAGCAGGTAAAACTGAATACCCACTACATGCTAACATTGTTGTTTATAATTGTTTCAAAATAATTAGAAATGAAAATTGGCATGCAAACACTGCAGGCTTTGGTTCATACCTTCAATGTCATGGCCACACTTTTGACCTACAGATGAAAGTTACAGGTGAAACACAATTGGACATTCACAAAGATTGATCAATTATTGTGTTAGTACATTAACTACATAATCACTGGATTACACCAGTGTTTAGTTCACGTGACGTCAAATTGTAGGATTCCTCTAGTTTCAAACTGAGTTGGAGGCAGACTGTATAAAGAAGTGGACTGAGTGAGAGTCGACGCTGGCAGATTTAGGGACGGATTTGGAGCCAGTGCCATGGCCATGAGTATTATAACAATCAATCCAGAGTAGGGATGGGCATTCCATAAAATTTTCGACCGTCGGGAGAATTAACAATCAATTTCTGATTAATCATTAATAGCGATGTAACAATAACCGAAATATCGTGATATTGTATTGTCAAAAAGTTTCACCATAATATCATGGGCTGTCACAATATATCAAATTACAAGTTTCTTTGCTTAATTGCATGGTTTTATAGTAGCAACAGCTTACAGACATAGGGAACTACATATCCCATGATTCATTTCAGTGCAGACAACATAAAGTTATGTGTTTTTTATTTGAATTCTTGGGATTATGTGGTAATAATTCACACCAAAATCTTGTCAAGATATTTTCAAAGCAAAAAAAGTGTCCCATCTTTAATTATTAGCCTCTTCAAAATATCTCAATAAATATCGTACCGTGAGATGCATATCATGATAATATTGTACTGTGAGATTTGGATATTGTTACATCCCTAGAATATGACAATAAATGTTGTACCAAATGACTGGTTAAAGCATTTTATAATGTCAGTCTTGTTATTATGTATAATATCATAATATCATGAGCCTCCCAAACATATTGTGAACTTTCCCACCATATCGCAATAAATATCGTACCGTGAGGTTCATACCATGACAATATCGTATCGTGAGACTTGGATATCGTTACACACCTAATCATTAATGTTTTTATATTAGAATGATCATCATTATTATTACTGTTACTAATCTGCATAAACTCAACTTTACAACATATAAACCAGAACCACTCTAGAGCCACATCAGCCCGTTTGACATTATAATGTGTTTAATGCAGCTTTGTGCACATTTGTTTATGTCTTACAGAAACTAAACTTAAAACCACATAAACTATTAGCGCTGCTCTTAGTACAGCTCTTTATTTAACATCATTTCACTTACTTTATTTACGTTGGTCACTAGGGCTGGGTGTCATTAAGGAGTTGCCGATACGACACATACCTCGATACACAGGCCATGATTCGATACATATCTCGATACAGTGCACTTTCGATTCGATATGATATATTTCAAATCGATTCGATACGGTTTAATAAAAATAAAGCCTAAATCGTGACTCTGATACTAAAAGGCTTTGTTAAATCATTTCTTGTGTTCATATGAAACACAAACATTTTAATCCTCAAAACAGTAAAAATGTCAAATGTGTCGCATAAATGAGTTTCCTTTCACTCCACAAGCAACAAAAATGTAGCACTGTAACAAAATAATTTAATAAAACACACCTAAAAATACTCTTGGTGAAATATCGATACAGTAGCTCATGATATCGATACTGTATCATCACATTAAACGATACGATATATCGATATTCTGATATTTTTGCACACCCCTATTGGTCACTTTATTTATTTTGGCTTCTGTTGTGATAAAAGACTGAAAAGTGTTTGTCTTTTGGACGTATGTGCACTCAACTTTAAATTGCAGTAACGGGTTACTGCATCTACAGGCACCATGACGAAACCGGGATACTCAAAAAACCCGATCATAATCGGACACTGGTGTGCATGTAAACACACTCAGTGAGAGGAACAGTGTCTCCAAGGAGGTTCCAGAGCCCAAACATGGGACTGTGAGGCCGAAACTCCAGTGTTTGTGTCAGACGGAGCCTCGACTCCTTACTCTACACACAACAACCTACATTCGGTTTGTCAATTAAAACTGAACATGATCGACGAAATTCTTAACGATCTATTATCGATTAGTCATCTCATCATGCCCATCCCTAATCCAGTAAGAGTGTAGTAATTGTAGTGAGTGTTTAAGGTAGTGCCACGTTCCGACCCGCTGGTTGGCATGTTGCTAAATGTTCATATCTTTAATATTTATGGACAAAATAGCAAAATAAAAACACCAGGCTCATGTAGCACGGGATAATACGAATATTTTAAGACCAAAATAATGAGCCTGACAGCAGCAGTTACAGAAAGAGGGGTGACATATTTTCAAAAGAATATAGGGGTGTAACGATATCCAAGTCTCATGATATCGTCACGGTATAAACCTCACGGTACGATATTTATTGAGATGTCGTGGGAAAACTCACGATATGGTGGGGAGGCTCATGATTAGGAATGAAACAATATCAAAATCTGTACGATCTTACACATTATACACATCTCACAGTGCGATATTTATTGCAATATTTTGTGGAGGCTTACAAACAAAACTGTTAATATGTGACTTTTTCCTCTTAAAATGCCTTGACAAGACTTAAGCCAAAAAACTAAGATTTAATAGTGTTAGAACTGTTATTTCTTCTTGAAGTCTACACTGAAATGGAGCAAAGGATCATGGTCTATGTAGTTCCCTCTGTCTTTTTTTTAGCTATTGCTGCACCATAACTCTTCATTTAAGCAAAGAGACTTGTAAACTGACCAAAACTGACACAGGCCCAACGTCTGTTAGTAATAAAGAGAAGTGACTTTTTTTTTTCCACAAAAGCCTTTAAGATTTGTGCTTGAGATGAAAATTTCAGATTTGTGGAGCCAGTCCCAAACAAATAATGACAAGGTTCATCTTTGACGTTGGATATTTCTTTCTTTCTTATTTCTTTCTCTTCATCGGAAATTATGACATGACCAAAGTCTTGTGTCTGTCTTACATCTAGTTTAGGCTTAGTCTTAGTCTTAGCTGGTTTAGACCTAGTTAAGTCTTTGTAAGTCATGATTTATGCGTCACACTTGATCTCAGTTTAGCCCTGATGTAGACTTGGTTCGGTCCTGTTCTAATCCAGGTTTAGTTCTGGGGTGTGTGCAAATGTAGCACACCCTTTAGAGCAGGTTTAGTTCATTTGATGCGATAATAGAAAGTCAAATATTTCAAATTTTAGAGAGAAAAATGGATTGAACACTCTGGAAATGAATATAACACTTAGTTTCATGACTCTATAGGTAGTTTCAGATTATAGAATGTGTCATACTCCCAGAGGGGACCAATGCGTTTTCCTTACTGATTCTGTGCGGTGACATCATGCTGGGGGGTGTTCTACATGCATCTCTACTGGCAGAATGTTCACCTGTTACCATGGTGACACAGTGTACACAAAAACTGCCAAGATGTTTTAATATAGTCTGAAAACTCAACACAAAATGGATTTAAACAACTAATTTTCAGGAGCCTGTGATCAATATGAGCGTCCAGGCTGCTGTTTATTAGTTTTATTTTCAACAAAAAGGAGAGACTGACGCTAGATTGTGACAGTAATTTTACGTGTCAGAGATTTGTTTAAGCGCAAAAATCATTTCACTTGTTGTAGTTCCAACTGAGTCAAGTTTTCTGGTTAGACGGTGTTAAAATAAAACTCTGAATAAAGTTTAATTTGAGTAACAGAGCTTCTAACAAAGTAGTAATATTAATTTATCCATTTATTTAATAATATTCATTTTATCTACCTCCATCTGTATTAAACTGAATTGTGAGTTGATCTGAATTACACTAATTGAGCTTTTTAATGAGCCTACGGATTTTGATGGACACCAGACCTGTCACTATAATTACTGTATCAGCTTATTGTGCAATATGTGAAAGGTACAGTTTTAGGGTCTGTATTTATCGTGTGTTTTCTATGCACTACTGAGAATTTTTGGCTATTTTTTGGCAATACGTTAAAATTTAAGCTGTAAAAGGTTGAATTAATAACGTGTATGACTCATTAGAAATGCAAACTGAGTACTGCAGTGTTTCATTCTGCTGTGTATTTATTGCAATTCGTGTATTACACATTTAGAATAGTTTGAGGTTTAAATCTGCTTTTGGGTTTTTATGTCAGTGGAATTTAAATTAGTTGTTGTTTTTGTTGTCATTACAGTATCGTTAGATATACAGAAATATTTCGCGCACAAATGTGTTATTGTGGACACTACAAAGTTATAAAAGTGTAGTATAATGGCCCAGCAGCTTACCAGGTTGTTCCACTGCTCTTTTGTAAACATTTTATTTACAGATAGTTTTCAAAGGCATCTCTAAGGACTGGTCACAAACTTTTTTTTTTTTTATCTACATGGTGCGTGTCCATTTATCAGCCTTCTTATGTCATTGCTTGACAATTTAGCTTTTAGTTTTCTTATTTTATTTATTTATTTATTGGCGGTAAATGTACACTAATCACTAGCAATCGACTGACACAGTTCACATGATCTTAAATTAGGTGATCATATTTTCAAAATTCTAAACTGGGACACACCGGGCTGGGATGTTTGGTACAAATAAAACTGTGAAGAGAGCGTGTAACATTGTGTATTCTTGTGTCTGTCATAATCTGAGGGACTTCTATCACTGCATTTTTTTGCTTTACAGTCGTTCGCAAACACAGTTTTCTGTATTTTGGCTAAACAAATGACAATTTATGCTCCTCTTTTCTGTTGGCAGGGATCAGATTAGTCAAATATTGTGATAGTCCTGGTTTAGACTTGATGTTGTCCTGGTTTAGTCTTAGTTCAGTTCTAGTTTAGATCAAATTGTTCAAAAATAGGGACACCTGTGAAATTTTTTTATAAAATTGGGACAAATCATTGGTTTTGTATAAATCTGCTGGGACAGGGGACACAGGGCTCAAAAGTGGGACTGTCTGCGTAAATATGGACGTCTGATCACCTCATTTCAACTGGTACATTTGTCCTAAATTTCCTGCGCGTGCATTATAACGTTGCAGTTCACTTTTTATTTTCACTTGGATTAGAAGCATACGGAGCATATGGTCTACTTTACAACTGCTATCCCTTGTACAAAGTGTCTAGTAAACTGTTTGCATAATAATCTAGAGAAGGTTTGACTTGTGATCCAGGACAGCGCCGTTAAGCACGCACGTTAAACCACCGTCAGCTATGAGAGCTAATGTTTTACACCAAATTTGGAACATCTGCAACGCGCATTCTGGGAAAATAGAACTATTTTAACAATGTATTAACCAATTTCTCACAATGCACTGACGGTGGAACTCAAAGCCTGCCTGTTCTTATTAACATTAGTAATTAGCTCGTTATAATGTCACATAAACATTCGCGCGTTTTGGAAAATACCTGCAGTTCGTTCTCGTCTCTTGGCTTCTTTCATGGCGAAGTCTTCACGGTCCTGCTCCATGGCGGTCCGGTGGGTTTGGAGCGGATCAGACGGTGGAAGGTGGAGCAGATCCCGTTAAAGGTGCGTGTTTACTGACCGACTGCCCCAGTAAAGCTCCCGCACATCCACAGCAGGAGGGCGGGTCAGAACGGGACACTTTGCCCGAAGCGCTGTCTGTCAGGCGCCGTGACGGAGGGCGGGTCATAACGGCATTGTACGCCCTGAGTGCTGTCTGCCAGGCGCCGTGACGCAACCATAGACTGTGTTTTATTATTTTTTTAAGTTATTTTTTAAATTACAGTAACACATCAACGTGACAAAACATCAGAGGTAGATATTGTATAAAGTGAGATTGTTGTTGTATCAATGCAGAGTCCAGTTCACAGTTGGCAGATGTGGAAATATATATTTTTTGTATGTGTATATATATATCTATATATCTATATCTATCTATCTATCTATATATATAAATATATATATATTAGTGCTGTCATGCGATAAAAAAAATTGAGAGATTAATTAATTATGATCTGTAATTAATTAATCTAATTAATCTCATTTTAATCTCACCTAAAAATTGCTGAGAAAAGCCTTCAATTTGAGGTATTTTCATTTAAATTCATTATTACATTATTGTGGCAGATCAAAAGACTGATATAGATTGAGTGTGGAGAGAATGAATAATGAACTGTCAAGTGCTTTGGGGATCTTGAAAGGTGCTATATAAATGCAATGTAATCCGATTCCTGATCTAGTGACTGGAAAGAAATGAACTTGAGTGGAGGCACTAGGTGGCGCCACACTGGCTATTATGACCCTGTCACACCAGTGTTTACATTGAGTATGTTTCATAGAGCATTTATTAATGAGAATACCTTCATTGTTAAAAATGGGGGAATAAATATTCCATTTAATTGCAACACCACATGCTTTTTCTGCAGAACGTCAGACTGCAATACAATGAGACAGAACAGGGCCACACCACAATATTTGAGTCAAGCCTAATGTATGTGCCAAAAGTTAATTTAAGTATCACCAAGACACATCCAATGAACTGTCAAACTTGGCGATCAAAGGCTGTAGTACAAAAGCCCAGTGAGAATCAAAAATAGTGTGTTGTCAATGGAATGGCGCTTTATGAAAATGTACAGTAAACATATTCTCAGTCTCTCCTGCTCTGTGACCAATGAGCCAACAGCACACACATCCTGCTCATCATCTCATTGGTCGATTGGTCATTGCAAAGAAGATACTGGAAAACAGCATGGACGACAGTGACAGTGCTTTACAGTGTTCTGTCGAAATGGGTCACCCCGTCGTAATGAGCTACCTGCAGCCTAACGTAGGTATTCTGCCACAAATCTAACACGTACATGTCCATGCTTACACGCTTAATGGGTCAAAACATACAATAAAACAAAAACACTTTTAAAATGTGACTTGTTACTCCACTTCTGACTCAAATCGACGGCATTTAAACTGGAACAGCGCTTGGGGATTGTGTGCATGTGCAGTAGTGCTATGTAGCTCAAATCAACAGGACACCAGCCCTGCCAATGAGGTGTCCTTTATTTATTTTTCAGGGAGTGACAACCGTAGTGACAATCCTCCTGACGTTCTACTATGCTGCACTGTGGACAAATAAAGGTGCGGCCTGTTCTGCAAATCAACTTTCCTGAGCTCTTCAGTAGGTTTTAATCCATTTTCACCACCAGTACACACCCACTGCTCTGTACTTCTGTCATTTTTCAATTTTATTTTCTTAATCAATGATACATGTTGGATTTGGCAGCGTCGTGTAGTCATTTTGGTATAAATGAAAAAACCTGTTACTCGCTGTTACTCGCCACATGACAAGAAGTTTCATCAGCTGTTTATGTTGGAATGTTGTTATTATTAGTCTGTCTACATCTCCAAAGCTCAAACCACTCTGCTCCACCTTGCGATGTCATGAAGTTCTAGTTTTCACTTCTAGTTTACCTGAGATTCTGAAATCATCCAGATGATTCTAGTGAAGGTGTATGGAGAGAAGAACTCAACCTTAATACGCAAGGTTTGTGTGTTAAACATGTGTGAATGAAACGAAACACAACTCCAGAGATGTTTTTGGTGAGATAATAAGTAACAACATTATAACAAAGATCAGACAATAGCGTAATATGAGCCCCATGAAACCGTGTAACCATATGTTGTAACTGCACAAGATCAAGGCCACAGTTGAGGTCAGGGTCTTTAACTGTGTCCCTGGGTCCTCTGGGAATAGAACCCTCCACTGTGACAGCTGCAGCTTATTAACCAGCACTTAAACAGGGCTAACCTCTCCCTTCTCCTATTAATAACCCACAGCCTTCCTCTGCTTTTGTCTGCGCTCGGTCTCTGGTGCATCAGAAAATAACGAAAATTACAAATTGTTCTGTAAAGCATCGTTGAGTGTCCTTAAAGGTGTACTGTGTCACTTTTTGGAACAAGGATCCATCAACAGTGCACCTTTAAACGTACCATGTGAATAAAATGTATAACAATGCATTATTTGTAGGAACTAACATGCCGATAAGAAACATAATATCTACAGTGCAAAAAAAAACTTTATATTAAAATTATGGGGAAAAAATAACAAATGTTCAGTCCCCCAAAACTGCAAGTTAAAAATCAGGGCAAAACTTTTTTGTAACGTATTATTCAGACTATACGTCGCACTTTTTTTCATAGTTTGGGTGGTCCTGCAACTTATACTCCGGTGCGACTTATATATTAAAATTTTCACACTGACAGCCGACAGAGGGCGCTCTAGACTTGTGCATCAGTATTTGCTACTCATATTACTCCTGTACCACTGTCACTTCGCTCTACTGCGCATGTCTCCTGCAGAAAAAGCCGCTGTCTTGCCGCAAGTAGTGAAATATTCAGTCAAAAATAGTAATCGAGCAGCAGAAAGAAAGTTTGGAGTGAGCAAAAAACTTGTGAGAGACCGACTGAAAGCGGAGATGAAGAACAAAGCTTCATGATAACCGGGAGGATGCACCATGCAACTTTCCTGGAAGTCATTGGATGAATTGACAAAGTCTGGACTTCAGTGACACCGAAACCATCCTGTCGGGATTCAGAAAGACCGGAATAATTCTAACTGGAACTGATGCTAAGTCTGAACGACAGCTACAACAGCAGGAAGTGGCGCTCCGTTTACTTCCGAAGGTGGTGGAGTTACCATGGATCTATAATAATTTATTATAGTTTTATGGAAGTTGCTCAGAAGTGACACCGAGGATGAAGAATTGAATGGATTTAGTGATTTGGAGTGAGATGGTAGAGTTTGTTTAAACTTGTTGTGTTCTGTTGTTTATGTTATATTTATCTGGTATCACAATAAATATCGTACCGTGAGGTTCATACCGTGACGATATCGTATTGTGAGACTTTGATATCGTTACATCCCTAATACCGAGACCTAATCTCTACTGAACAAAAGATAAAAGTTAACTTGAAAACTACCACAACATGACATCACAAGGTGGAACAGAGCAGTTTGAGCTTTGGAGATGTAAACAGACTAATAAGATTCATCATCAAATCCTTCAGTATGAGCACAGCCTTTGGGGACAGTTTAAACGGTGGTGATATTGGGCTTTTCAAACGGTTCAGGTGGCTCCAGATTCAACCAGAGTGTCCAGGGAACGCGCAGAAGACTCCATGAATGCTTCTCCAGGCTAATCCTCTTTTAATTAGGCCAGAGGAGAGGTCCACCCGCTGGATTAGTCACAGCACTTTGACACAGCACCCCCCGACATGGGTGGGGAGTCTACCTGCACCCACCCCACTCGTGCGCCCGTAACAGGACCCCGAGGAGCAGATCCGACACACGCCATGATTCGCGCTTTGACAATCTTTAACCACACTTTGGGTCTCGTAAGGGGCTGTTTCTGGTGTTACTTAGAAGTGGAGAGTAAGAGTGGTGTAGTGAGTCGAGTGTTCGCCCATTAACCAGAGTGTTGTCTTTGCTTTGTCGTACAGTTAAACGGCCCAGATTACATCACAAACAGACCTGGAGTTGTGTTGTGTTTCATTCATGTTTAGGCTGAGTTCTTCTCTCAAACAGAAAACACCTTGTGCAGTAATACAGGAAGTGCTCCACTGCTTTACTTCTAATGTACAAAAGGTAAAAAATTAGCCAGGCTGGTGCCGCCTAGTGCCTCTGCTCAATTTAATTTCTCTCCAGCGACTAGGTCAGGAATCAGAATACACTAGACCGCGCACCAGCCAACCTGTCAGGGTTCCTTTTGTGGTACAGCACAACAGTAAACAAAGCAGTTGAGATGGATGTAGACGAGGCCAGCTCAGTTTTCACCCACCCAAAATGCCGGCTCCATGTGGACGAAAGGCCAAAACGAATACAAACTTTTCTGTTTTGACCAAAAAACATTCTCATGTGGATGGTCCCTTATTCTTGGAGATGTGTGGAGACACTTAAAAAAAAATTCCATCCAGTCCTTGTATTTGCAGAGGTCGCTGGTGTTAGACTAGTGCATGTCAATGACCATAGTTCTCCTGCCACTAAAAACTTACCCACTCCACAAAACACCTGAAACAAATCTATTATTACACCAGACTGTCCATGTAAATGTCTGTGTTGATAGAATAATGTTTCAAATAAAACTAACCTTGCATCGCATGAATTGTCACATGTTGAGGGGATATTTTCTAAGCAGCAGAGGAATTTTACTTTGCCGGTAAGATAGGTGCTAGGTGATATCAGTCCGCCGCTGCTGAGCTTTCTATCAGGAAGTACAACTAGCAGGTGCTGCTCAGATATAAATTCTTCAAATGCAAGATTGGTTTCGCTTCTAAAATTATTCAACATAGACATTCACATGGACAGTCTGGTGTAATAATAGATTTGTTTCAGGTGTTTTGTGGAGTGGGTAAGACTGTTTTTAGTGGCAGGAGAACTATGGCCATTGACATGCACTAGTCTAACACCAGTGACCTCTGCAAATACAAGGACTGGATGGAATATTTTAAAAAGTGTCTCCACACGTCTCCAACACTCTGGATAACTGGGAAATGAGGCCCTATGTCCCTTTAAAGTATTGCAGTCACAGCTGCCCTGGGGTAGAATTAGGACCTGTCCACACGA